GAATGGCTATTATCAAAAAGACAAGAAATAAAAGTGTTGGTGAGGATGTGGAGAAAAGGGAACCCTGTGCTCTGTTGGTGGGAATGTAAATTGGTGCAACCACTCTGGAAAACAGTACAGAGGTTCCTCAAAAAGTTAAAAGTATAAATACCAGGTAATCCAGCAATTCCACTCAAAGGGAAAAAGAACCCTCTAAATCAAAAAGTTATATGCACCCCCATGTTCATTTCAATATTATTTATAATAGTGAAGAAATGGAAACAACTTCTGTGTCCAACAATAGATGAATGGATAAAGATGTGGTATATGTATACAATAGAATATTTCTCAGCCCTAAAAAATGTGTGGCAACATGGATGGACTTAGATGATATTATGTTAAGTGAAAGAAGTCAGACTACATTTATCACAATGATCACTTCCTTATATAAATGTCAACTACACTTCAGTATAAAAAAAACCAAAAAACCAACTCTATGCACTCCTGGGGAAGTCTTCATGTATTTACAGGCATCTGCAAATCCTCAAAAAACTCATGAAGGGGTATACCAGTGTGTACAGAATGTTTACAGCAGCATGATGTTTTTTCAAAAAATTTTTATTGTGGTAAAATACAAGGAACATAAAATTTACCATCTTAACTATTTTTAAGCATACAGTTCAGTGGTCTTAAATTCATTCATAGTGTTGTGCAACCGTCACCACCATCCATCTCCAGAACTCTTCATCTTGCAGAACTAAAACTCTATTCCTGGCAACCACCATTTTACTTTCCGTAGAGTCATACACTATTTGTTTTTTTGTGACTGGCTTATTACATTTTCAGAATTCCATCCTGATTTATGTAGTGTTTTAGAGTGTATCACTTTGTATAGTTTTTTCGGTGGTTGCTCTAGATACAACAGTATACATAAATGAATTAGCAGTCAGCCAAGTGCAGAAATCCTACTTCCATTTAGGACCTTTTGCCTCCCCACTTTTAAAATATAATTGTCTTAAGTATTCCCACTGTATAGATGGTGAATATCAAATGGTATTCTTTTTGCTTCAACCATCACGTCTGATGTAAGACACTTGGAAGTAGGATAGTCTCTTTTATAATATCCCTATTTTTCCCATTCTAATGTTCTTTTCTTTCAACAGTTTCAAGCCTTTGTTGTTATCATTTACTTTGTTCAGAGTTATTTCCTTTAGTTTTTCCTAAAGGATAGGCTTGCTGACAATACTCTTAGTTATCTTTTGAAAGTGTCTTAATTTCCCTTTTATTCCTAAATATGTTCACTGGATAGAGAATTCACTGCTGATAGTTCCTTTCGTTCCACTTGAGAAAAATATGCAACTTCCTCTGGCTTCCATGGTTCAGATGGGGGCGAGAGGGTGGTTTCTCCACTGGTGTTTGGTTGAAGGAAGGTGGGTCTTACCAACAAAGTTCTCTGTTTGGCCACCCTTTTCCTGGTTTTACTAAGGGGAACAGGCTTAGAGCTTTTTTGTTCTGTGTCTGTTGGAGGTTCTGGCATGGAAGCTTCTGGAACACATTAGCTGAAAGATATGGGAGGTGAGGAGAAAAAGGGGAATTTACTACCATGTTGCTCCTCCGCCCTCAAGGTCTCGCAGTTTGCCTTCTTCTTTTCACATTTTGGAGTCTTCCCATGCTTGTTTATTGACGCCCAAAGTTTTTTAGTTGTAAGACGGATGACCTAGGAGGAATGGTGGTCATGTGTTTTGGCTCAAAACCCCTGATCTGATGATATAGAGTTTTTCCCAACATTTTATTATGAAAAATTTCAAACACAAAGTAAAACTGAAAGAATTTTACAGTCAACACCCATTTACTATCACCTAGATTCTACTATTAATATGAAAAGAGGTCTACTTCTCAACTTGAGTGGATGTTTTCAGGGGTTTTCTCTTTATGTGTTATTATTGGATTATACATTCTAATTGCCTTTCTGTATATTTCACATTTTGAAAAGTATGAAAAATATGACTCTGTTTTTGTTTCATACACACAATTGTGTGTAAGCACATACAGTAGCATATATGAATAGATGTAATCAGTGTTTATTACTCTTTCTTCATTCCACATACTATGTGTAAATTTCTTATAATTTTATTTTCACAATCAGGTAAACAACAAAGCACTTTACTCTTTACAAAAATTATGCATATGCAGTATTGAAAAATGACCAAAATTTTGAACATTTCAATAAAGTACATATACACGCTATTTATATTAGAAAATATCTAAATGGCTCAATAAATATGAGATCATATTTAATTTCACAAGTACTCAAAATTAGATATAAAAAGTTTGCCCTCTTGAATAAATAAAAGTTTTTTTTTGAAGCACTAAAAACAAAACAACCCCCCTCCCCAGAGTAGGCGTGGGTGTTAGGCACAGCACATATCATCGCCAACTGCTTATGGAAATAAAAATTGTAAAAACTTCCAGGAAGGCAACTAGGCAATGGGATCAGAATGCCGCCAGTGCTTGATCCAGTCATTCAATTCAAGAAATTTAAACTAAAGAAAATAATCTTCAAAGATATAGGTACGAGAATATTAATGGAGCAAAAAACTGGAAAAAATATAACAATAGGCATTAAATAAGCTTAATTTAGTTAAATATATTCAACTAAAAAATTTAAGTAGCCATAATGGGACGCACTGAAGTCATTCAAAACATTACTGAGGGAGAGTATCTATTGGCAAATTCAAATGCTCAAGGTACATTCTTTTTTTTTAAAAGATTTTATTTATTTATTTGAGAGAGAGAATGAGATATATAGAGAGAGAGAGCATGAGGGTCGGAGGGAGAAGCAGACTCCCTGCTGAGCAGGGAGCCCGATGCGGGACTCAATCCCGGGACTCCAGGATCATGACTTAAGCGGGGAAATAAACCAAACTAAGTTACAACTGCTATCCGCAAGATTCCATTTCGTTAAAAGGAGGCTGGCAGCGATGGAGAGATTAATATGGAGTTCAAAGGGCTGTTGAAAGATGTTCACCAAAACGTTAACCACTTCTGTGCGGTGGCATCAGGTGCATTTTTCTTTTACTTTTTTTCTATTTATAAAACCTTCTCAATGGGACATGTTCCCATTAGGAAGAAGAAAAGATAACCACTGGCTTCTTCCGCACCTGGAAGGTCCCTTCCCTCCCACCGCTGCTCAGCGAGGGCTGCCAGGGGGACCCCACTCACACTTCGGAACTCGCCCAGATCCCACCACCCTGCTTTCCTTTCGTTTTTCCCTATAACGCTTATCTTCTAAAATGTTATAGAATTATGTTTATGGCTTACTGTCTGCTCCCTACCAACTCCCCCAAAAAGTTCTCGAAAGCAATGATCTTTGTTTTGTTCACGGACTTATTTCCAACCACTTATGGCAACGCTTGCCACAAGAAGGTGCTCGAAACACTCCGGCTGAATGACTGAAAGGGAAAATAGGTTTGCTCTCGGCGGTTGTCTACTTGCCTTACTATCATTTATGCAGATGCACAGCTACAAGACACTGCCCTCGGCGAACCTCCGTTTCCTTCACCAGGAATCAGAAGCCACAGTCGTCGCAGCCGAAGGGGTGTGACCACGAGCCCGGAAGCGGGAGCTGGGCACGCGACAGGCTCGCCCGGCCCCGCCTCGCCGACGAGAGCGGAGAACTACACTTCCCAGAATACTTAAGTCCTCGCGTGGACTACATTCCCCAGGAGCATTAGCGGCCGTCCCTAACTCGCCCCCCGCCCCCCCCGCCCCGCCCCGCCTCTCTAGACAGACAGCCGGCTTTTGCAACCAGCGGCTCTGGGCCTGAGTTCAGCCCAGGCATCGCCCGGGGAGGGGTCCCGACCCCAGGCTGCTGTCCGCCGGGGCAGTGCCGGAGCCTCCGCCTGCGGAGCACGGCCGGGAAGGCGCAGCCCCCGGAATCCCGGGGCCTGGGCGAGGTGAGCGGCGGAGGGTCGGCGGAATGCGGGACGGAGGGAGGACCGGGGCCTCGGGAGGATGCGGCGCCGGGGCGCGGGGCACAGGCCGGAGAGGCGTGAGCGGGGCCTTTGTGGGCACGGGCGGGGGGCCGAGGGCCGGCACCCCCGATGTGCCCGCCTGCCCCGCACCGGCCATCCCGCGGACGCGCCCCTGACCGCGGCAGGTCGGGCACTTGTCCCCACTGGCCCAGGCCCCGGTCACCCTCCTGCTCCCTCCGGACCCGTGCCCAGCGCGCTACCTGCCGGGCCCTGCGGGCGTGTGGATTTGCTACCGGCTGTCAGTGAACGTGAGGAACTGTGTTTCCGCCCCTCCCCGGCGCCGCTGCCCTCCCGGGCTGCAGGCGCAGAGATGTGTTTTCTGCCAGAAGTGAGTTGCCGGCTTCCCCCGCACGGCAGAACCTGGACTGGAACCCAGGTTTTCGGCTTCTGTGCCTGCTTCTCTAGACGGCAGCCCTCTGGCCGCCATAGGAAAGCTGCTGTCATCCCTTTCCGAAGCACTTTTCTCTAGAAACCTGGAAGGAGATTCCTTGACAGGAGGGGGAGGATTCGAGGGGGGGAGCGGGCAGCTTGGGGTGGAGAAAAGTTGTCGCCTGCGGGCAGTGAGGTTAGAGAAGGGGCTCTGGAGGCGCGCGGTACGGATCCCGGTGCTCCGGGCCAAGTGGCTCCGGCCGTGCGCTGAGTTTCCCGATCTGTAACACTGGCGTGGACAATGGCAGCTGGGCGGCGGGACTGAACGATGTGGGCTGTGCCTGGCCCGGGGGAGGTTCAGTGAGTTAATTGCTGCTACTACTGCAGCTGGAGTCTGTCCTTTTTCTCTGAGCCGCACGGCGAAGAGTGGGGTCCCGGACCCCTGGGGGCTGGCCCTTGTCTCTGGGCCTGTCTAGCCCCAGCTCCTTCTGACTTCCCTCTCCCAGGGCTTGTGGCCTCATTCTCAGGCGGTGTAAGGATTTCAGAGCTGGTGATTCTCAGGGGTGGAAAGCACAAGGGGCTTCTCCCTCCTGGCTCCCTTCTTCCTCTTTCAGATCTGCCTTCTGGAGACTCCACCCATCCTCGCAGAAGAGCCCAGAAAGAAGATATGGCTATTGGACCCAGGGAAGCAAGGTCTCAAGTGAGTTCATCGCCATCTCAGGTCTTACAGATAGACAGGGAGATAGATCGATCGATTGGTTGGTTGGTTGATTTACTTACTCGCTTACTTACCCACCCTTAAACTGAAGTTCTCTGCTCAATACAATTTTCTCCAGGATTTGGAGCCCTAGCCCTTTTCTCCTTGAAGAGTTGATCCACCCAGGTGGAGGGTGGATTCTGTAGGCAATGTTTGCCTCCCCCCTGCCAATCCATGTCTAGTGTTTCTCTTTTCTTTTTCTAACAGACGCTTCTTTTTATTCATGAATCTCAATTCAGTGTATGATTACTAACTTGTGGTAAGATGCCACATGGGGACGGAACAAAGAAACACACACACTTGGCAGTTCCTTTCTGTCCCTGCTTCCTTGGCTCGCCCTGGTCTCCCTCCCTACCCTTGGCTTTTCCTTAGGATACCTTCCCTAGACTTATCCAAGCCACCATTGTTAGGTTTTTCTTCCTCTTTACTTTGTGGATCATGTGCCTTGTTTCTGTACTCCCTTGAAAACTGTTCTTGACCTGCCATTTTCATCCTTCTGTTGTTGGAAATGGTCCAGGTGAGCCAGTGCATGAACAAGGAGTAGCCGTGTTGGAGGGGACACAGAACTCCATAGAAAGTTCTAAGGAGAGATCTCTGGACTGCAAGGGCAGAGAGAAGACTCCCCAGGAAGGAGCAGGGAGGGTTTTGTGGGATATCAGGAGTGGAGAGGCCGGGTCTCCAGTGGGTAAGAAGTGGGGCTTGAAGCCAGACTGCCGGGCTTGAACCCATCGCCTCGGTTGTGTGTGGGCCTTGGACGAATAGCTCCATCTCTCTACACCCGTTTCCTCACCTGGACAATGGGAATAACAAGCATGCCAACCTCATGGGGTAGGTGAAAGGGTCAGTTGAGTTAGCGCATGGAAAGTGTTTAGATCAGGGCTGGGCACTAGCAGATGCCCAACATGGGGTGGTTGTGGGAGCCGGATGACGTTACTGTAGTAATAATACCACTCATGCCGATAGATGGGGATGGCTGTACCGTGCTGCTAGGACTTGTCCTTTCATTGCTCATCTTCATCTGACAGTAACAGTTAATGCTGCTGGGGGTCGGCCTGAGGGCTTGGCCTTTGTTCTCTCTCTCACGCCAGCGCAGCAGTGATCATCCCCGTGTTACACAAGAGCAAACTGAGGCTCAGAGACGTCCAGTAACCTGAATTCCAACCCCAGTGTGTCTGGCTTCTGGGTCCAGGCTCGTCACTGCGCAGCCATTCCCCTGGTGCCTCTTTCAGAACCCGGGGCAGCCCCAGCCCCCGTGTTCCCAGAGCTCTTCTCTGTTGTGATGTTGTCTTTGGGCCCATGAAACGCCGTGGTGGTTGATCTTCGGGCTGGGGTTGGCCAGTGCATATCTGGGCTGCTTTTTTCTAAAGCTTTCCTCTTCCATTCCCAAAGAGCCAGATTCTCTTGTGCCCAGAATCTTCTCCATCCCTGCAGAGGAGCTAATGCGTGTGGCATTCTCCCTCACCTCACCTGCTCCCATATGTCCGTACTGCATGGGCTTGTGTGTAAAGCTCAGTGACAGGCGTTTAAGACCAGAGAGAGAATATACCAAGTGCTGGGTTAACAGAAAACTTTAATTATTGTACTGCCTCTGCCACTGATAAAGTATGTGACCCGGGGTCTTGACTGCTCTGGACAGTCTCATCCTCATCTCTGAAGTGAGGATTGAGCTGGGAGATGGTGTATGGCCCTGTCCAGCTACACATTTTTCTTTCATTGATCCAATTATTTTGTGTGTTTATCTTGTCTGCCAGCTGGATTGTAAATTCTTTGAGAGCAAAAATTATTTCTTATATTCCTCCCCAATATGTAAATAATTTAGTTTTCTTACCATAAAGATATTGTATAATCATGGTACAAATTTTAGATTATAAAATATGTACATATATATGCATAGATGTATATATGTATGTGTGTGTATTTGTGTGTAGAGTTGACCCTTGAGCAACACAGGTTTGAACTGGGTAGGTCCCCTTACACGTGGATTTTTTTCAATCAATACAGTACAGTACTATAAATGTATTTCTCTTATGGTTTTGTTTTTTTTTTCTTTTTTTGGTTTATTTTTTGAGAGACGGTGCAAGTAGATAAGGGGGGACAGAGAGAGAATGAAAATGAATCTCAAGGAGATTCTGTGCTGAGTGCAGGGCATGATGTGGGGCTTGATCTCATGACCCTGAGATCATGATCAGAGTGGAAATCAAGAGTCAGACGCTTAACCGACTGAGCCACCAAGGTGCCCCTTTATGATTTTCTTAATAACATTTTCTTTTCTCTAGCTTACTTTAGTGTAAGAATGTAGTATATAATACATATAACGTGCAAAATATGTGTTAATCGACTGTTTATATTATTGGGAAGGCTTCCAGTCAACAGTAGGCTATTAGTAGTTATGTTTTTGGGGACTCAAAAGTTATATGTGGATTTTCGACAGTGTACGAGGTCAGTGCCCCTAACCCCCTCCTTGTGCAAGGGTCAACTGTATATTTTTTTCATATATTCAAAAGAAAGTAGAATCACCCTTAACCCCACCATCTGGAGATAATCACTGTCAATCATTTGTCGTGTATCCCTTAGCCATATACATATATATATGTAATTTTTTATCAGAATTGAGTACAAACTACACACTGATGTATAACCTGCTTTTTGTATTTAACATTATCTTGGGTGTCTTTTTAACAAACATTGACCTAACCATCAGTTGTGTTGGTTGCATAGTATTTTATATTGAATATGATAATAGCTAACATCTGAAGCTTTGATATGACCCAGACATGGTATTAATTATACTGTATGGGTTATCTCATTTATTTAATAGCTGTATGTGGTAGGTTCTGAGAGGCATTTTTGCAGAATGGTTAAGAACGGAGCCTTGGTCATGTACCTGGATTGGAATCCCAGTTCTACCACTGACTAGCTATGGGACTTTAGGCAAATTTATCCTCTCCATGGCTGTTTTCTCTCATGTAAAATGAGGACACTGATGATATTTTCTCTTAGAGTTGTCGTGATTTTTAAATAAAGATTATATTAAAGATTAATAGAAAGTTCTAAGGATTGTACCTGGCCTGTGTAAAGCATTCAGTAGAAGAGAGAGATTTCAGTTTCCATTATTTCTGTCCTCCAGCTTCAGTGAGCACTCAGATAATACCTTCCATTAGTGACCCTACCCTTCATCATCCGTGATGACTTACCTTGTTTCTAATTTTTTGCTATTACTAAAACCATGATAAATGCTCTGTGTGCATTTTTGTGTACTGTTCATTATAATAGAAATATAATTGGTGAGTTAAAGAATAAACATCTTTTAAAGCTTTTAATATGTATTATCAAATCATCATCAGCAAGATTATTCTAATTAACACTCCAATGGTCTTACTTCCTCCCCACATCTCCTTATAATAGTTAAAACAGGGCCTGGTGAATACTTCACACTGCTCAGTATGTATTTGTCACTGGCCTATGGTTCATTAAACAAATGACCTGAAATCTTCAGAAACCAGAATGACATCAGAAGCCTTTCATGGCAGCCCATGTACTCCCCCTGCTACCTTCGCTCTGTGTGGTGGGAGGTCCTGGGTGAGCTGGGATGGCTTGTCGTTACAGGTGTCGGTGACCTTCCAGGATGTGGCTGTGCTTTTCACGAGGGATGAGTGGAGGGAGCTGGGTCCTTCTCAGAGAAACGTGTACCAGGAAGTGATGCTGGAGAACTACAGCAACCTGGTCTCACTGGGTAAGGGAATTTTCCCTGTAGATGAAAAAGTCAGACATTAGCATAAGTCAGCACCTCCTTCCCTGCATAAAAGCCGTGGGTCATCAGGAACTTTTAGCTGAATTTTGCCTTAGGATTGTACATATTGTAAATAAATAAGTGTTTAAAACTTCTTTCCCCCTGTAGGCATGGATTTGTCCCATGCATGGGACAGTTAACATACTTGCAGGTTAGAAATTCCCTCATAGTTCAGGCAACATTTTCCTGCTGACTTTGCTCAGCTCACAGCAGAGAGCATCCCTCAACCGTCTTCATTAACCTGCCGCCAGCCTTTTGCAATTCTCCCTTCCTGCCTGATGAAGTTGTATAATCCACCTTTGAAAGGGAGTCAGAGAGCACTTTCTCATGTTAAACAGGGCACTTGGTACACAGTCTCTCGGGATGGGTACCTGTTTACAAATATTTAGTCTTTACATTAACATATTCCCTCTCCTGTAGAAAGCCATGGATACTCTAGTAATCAAAGCTGCATGTTTATCATATTTCTGTAACCTCCAACAACCAGTTACGTAGCCACGCCCCACAGGTCCCTTGCTTTTCCCCTCACAAAGGCCCTCACATCGTGGGGGCACGGCTCGAGCACCCCACCGCTCGAGCACCCCACCGAAGCTCATTGTGCCGTCCCCTGAGTTTTCCACTCAGATCCGTGATGCCTCTTTGAGTCAAAACAAAACCAAGTCTTTTCTTTTTGTCTCTGAGCAGGACTCCTGTTTTCCAAACCAAAAGTGATCTCCCTGTTGCAGCAAGGAGAAGATCCTTGGAGGGTAGAGAAAGAAAGTCCTGGAGGCCCCTCTCTAGGTGAGTGGGGGGGACCGAGGGGCCGGGAATGGGCTCGGGCAGCAGTCTGGGTGGTAAGTGGACGGTGCGGCTTGGAGATGTGGTTTGGGAAAGTTTCCCCTGGGCCTCTGTCCTTGAGAAGTGGCGGAGAGGGGACGCTCGGGCCCCAGACGCAAGCTTCCTCTTATTCTCTGGTAGTCACTTCCCAGTGAATCTCTCAGGAGCTCTTACTCGTTCCTGTTTTCAGAGGAGGGCTGCACATCTGGGATTCAGTCAGCAAACAGCGTACTTAAGGAATGGCAGGGAATCATTCTGACCGAGGCTCAGGGTATGTGAGAGAAGGAGCCGAGGAAGGAAACGGTGTCAGAAAGCTAGCCGGCCCGCGGTACAATGGGCTTTGACAAGACCCGGACATGGGACCGTCCCATGGAAATAAAGGAGTTTCAGCAGATAACTGGAGTTCTTGGTATTTTAGGAAAGTTGACTTAACTGTGAAACGATGGAAAGGTCCTCTGATAAAGGCATGGCGGGAGAAGCTGGGCGAGTCCCCTCTCCGGCACCGAGCGCCACCGTCAGAAACGAGGGCAGCTGGTGTGGACAGGGCTGGGGCGGGCGGGGGGAGCATCGTGCTGATGTGTCACCGTTGCTGCTGAAGGGAGCGGACGTGGCTGTGTGTGTGTCTGATGTGTGTGGAAGTGCAGGTGGAAAGGCTAGGGGACACACCTGAGCTGGTGCCAGGACCTCCACTGGGAATGGCATCGAGAAGGGGCGGGACGAAAGAGGGCTTTAGTTACATGTAATCTTAGCATTTCATGGAGAATCGATTCATGAAGTCCTTGTGCAATTTGAGTTGAATACACATGGTCACTTTGGGAGCATTGTGGGGATAGATTTAAAGTGAGGGAAAACCCGATGTGGAACCTTCCCGGAGACACTTGCAATAAGGTAGGTGAGACGTTTCCAGGGTCTGGACAAAGGCACGGGCAGTGGGGTCCAGGAGGGAAGAAGAGAGGCCCCTTTGTGAAGGGTGAAGGCCGAGTTCTCTGTGGGATGGGTCTCACTGGAGATGTGAGTGGAATGTTTGGGGAGAGATGCTGGTGGAGGTTGAATGAGGTCTGTGGGAACTCGGAAGGGAGGTCAGGGAGCCGTCGGTACAATGGTGGCATCTGACACCTCGAGCTGACCAGGCGAGGACACAGAGCAGAGGACAGAATGCCAGGAAACCTCACCATTTACGACGTGGGTTAGGAAAGAAGACTCTGGCTGAGCCTGAGAAGTCATCAGAGGAGAGAAACGGGAGAGGCGGCTGACAGGGAAGTTGGGGACGGAGAGCTGCTGAAAGGGGGAGGATCCGGGTTCAAACCCCCACCCCGTTTTCCTGTCCTGTGATGGATGGTGCGTGAGCTCCATGCTGGGTACTGGCGATGCGACATTGGACAGAAAGACACAGGTGCTTCTGACTGAAGGTCACAGTCAAGTGGGGAGACAGGTGATTGTGCACTGAGCACACACGGGGTGGGGAATGACCCCATAGGAAAGATGCAGAGTGTGTGAGAGCATGCGGAGTGTGTGAGGCGCGGTGTGGGCAGAGGTTTCCCCGAGGAGAGCAGGATCCGAGGATGTGGAGCCTGAGTCCAGCCACAGGAACGGGCCGTGTGAGTCCAGAGAGGGGAAGCCAGCATGTGCTGCTAGGAGCCAGGAGAGAGCAGCAGGGACCAGACCCCACCGAGCCGGGGCAGCCCAGACACAGGATTTGGTCTGTGTCTGAGAGCCAGGCAGGGCACCTGGGGACTTGGAAGTAGCCTATCACGGCCTCAGGTGTGAGAGCAGCCTGCAGGCCATGGGGGCCCTGTTGGCGTGGACGTGGAGGCTCGTCCCTGCTCTTGTCGGGTCCTGATGCGTCAGTGACGACTCTTCATCCCGTGGGCCCCGCAGAGGAGCTGCAGGCCGGCGGTCTCCTTCCCCAAGCCCCCAGGCCAAGGGAGCCTTCTCACCAGATGTTGAGGTTTATGCTGTGGGAACCACCCTTGTATGTCTGTCTTTTTAGCTCTGGTTTGGGAGAAAGACATGAAATCTGGGAAGCTGGAAGAGGCCGCCACAAAGTGCCCAGAGCAGGCGGGCATCAGGGAACCCGCCGAGGGTCGGCAGGGGCTTCCGGCCCGCTGGTGGCTGTGGGCCGAGTCTGGCATGAAAGATCAGAGGAAGAGAAGGAAGGATCTTCCCCTTTCCCCACGCCTCGGGAGCCTCTCATCCATGAATGCATCTCTCCAAGTGAAGCGAGTCTTGGGTGGGTTAAGGGGAGTAGGAAGTGTGACTGGGGTCCAGAGCTGTGGGCCACGGGGGAGTAGGGCTGGAGTCCTCCGCCACCCTCCTCCTCAGGTTCCGGGAGACGTCCCTGAGGGCGGACC